AAAGTGAAAAGTTTATGTTTTTGCTCTGCCTATAAGGATACTTAGAATTGTGGGACATTGGCCCATTCCATGCCCCTACCCTTTTTATCTCCTTGCCCACACCTAATTGACAAGACTTCAATAATTATTAATTTCAAATATAGTAAAGTATAGAAGTTGGTGATGTCTGCAAAATTATTCTCGAAAGATGGGAACATATTCCAGAAGCTGCTACTCTATCCCATGGTTTTCAAAGCAACCTTAAAACTAATACTATCTCTTTTTTTTCTTAAACGTTATTTTGGTTTTATCAACAACTAACCAAATAAATGATGTTTTAGGTTTTCCGTACATATTTTTTTATTATTACCCTCAAATGGCTAATAAATACACTACATTTTTTTATATTCACTCTTCATCTTTTCTCAAAATATCCATTTGTATTTTCATTAATGAAGGTTATTATTTACAAAAAAAATTCTTAATTAATGTGTAACTTCTCAAGATGATACTTATTACAAAAATGACAGAGTATTTTTTTGGTAAAAATAGGTCATGGCCATTAAGAATATTGCCAAATGCCAACCAAATAATTAATGTAAGCTCAACCAATATTCATAAAATAAATATGTAACCATCTGTTTTATATGATTTTAAAATATATAATTTAAGAAGACTTGATAAAAATATAATATTAGGCAAGATACAATTTTTCATTTTTTCATAGAACAACATTATAAGAAAATAAGGAGTACGAATGTGTGATTTGATGAAAAGCGGAGAGTGATTGGTCTAAGAAAATGATTCTCATTTTTTTTTTTTTTCTAAAAACGGCAGGAGATTCTCATTTCATTCTATTCAATTTAATTTAGAAAACAAAAATAAATCATTTACACACATTACTAAACTATTCCTAAAGATCAACTATTGTCAATTGATATTTTATTTTATTTTAATTTTGATTTTAGTTTTAGTTCATTTAATTTTATACCCATCCACAATTTTTTTTTTAAAAAAAATCATTAATGCATCAATATAGGTGGTATTTTAAAAATAAAACTCTCGTCATTCAATTATAAATCGAATTTCACATTTTTAATTCATAATAACACAAAAATTAAAAATCAATTGATCTTCTCTACTTCTTTCGAATATAAATCAAATTTCATATTTTTTAATCCACAAATCCGACCATCGTCATCATTTCACCATAAAGCAGTATACTAATTTTAGCTTTATTACGAATATTCTATGAACAATTAGCAGCTTAACGACGGCAATCATCACAAAATCAATAAAATCTTTATTTATTAATATTTTCTGCACTCAAACCAAGCAACCGGTTGAAGAAACTACGCGTTTTTTCACATATATATCGCGCACAAAAGGCAATTTCTTGAAGCATAATCCAATTGCCCTCTTTCTAATTTCCTCCAAGAAAAGTGATTATAGAAACGAAATTCAAGATTTCATAAGGAGTTTTCATGGCCGGCAGTGAAGAGGCAATGGAGGTGGAAGATTCTAACGGCTATTCGTACGGAAATAAGGTTAAGCTGAGGCTCAAAGATCCGTCTAAGGTAGGGCTTTCGTGTTTGAATTCACCTCGTATATGTATGTGTGTGTAGTTTTAGTGTTTGGGTTGTTCGAAAAACTCGTTGCGGGTATAGTCGATTTGGGCGTTTTTTGTGATATGGGCTATTGGGTATTTTCCATTAGCTTGCAAGTTTTGATGGTTTTAATGATGGGGGGTGGATTTGATTTTTTTTTGTAGAAAGTAGCTCAGACAAAGGAGATGCTGTCCAAACAAGCAGTTCAGACCAAAGAGATTTTATCCAAACAAGCCGTTAAGATCGCTAAACAGGCCGAGGAGCACGAGAGGTTCATCAACAAGGTATCAGCCATCAGAATGTGTGTCTGTGTGTGTGATTGTGTGTGCATTCGTTAATTTTCTATTTGACTCTTGGTTATATAATCAATCAATCAATCAATCAACAAGCCGTTAAATAATCATGTCTAAGAAAATGGACTGTAATTGAGCTCCCTTGACTATTTGTAGTATTTTTGTTTGTGTTGATATGGGATTGATGAAAATATAGGTGACGCATTTGCTGGGTGTTCTTGGATTTGGAGGCTTCTGCTTTATTTTGGGTGCAAGTGAGTATAAAGAGGAGACACCAGAGTATAATGTTGTTACTACCAATTGCAATTGTTTCCTAAATTTGTGTTTTTTGTGGTTTTGCTTCATCAGGGCCCCAGGATGTTCGGTATCTGTATTGCTTGTTCTATGTAATTTTCGTCCCACTTAGGTGGATTTATTACCGATACAAGAAATGGCACTATTATCTTCTGGTGAGTTTCATCATCCATGTAGTCTGTGCATATTTATTTTTTTTGCATTTAATTTCTGTTCAGAATGTTAGATTGGTGATTGGGAAGCTAATTCAACTGATTATAAAATGAAACCACCATTATCTTAGTTATTGTGTGCTCAGTGATCTGGCGTAAGTTGGAAAACTGTGAACATATACTGCAGAATTTCTTCTTACCGAGTTGTATTTTTTGTTTCAAAAGTTATGTAGGCTCTTTATTCAAGGCATCACCTTGTAAAAATTCTGTAGAATTTCTTCTTACTGAGATGTACTTTTTTGTTTCAAAAGTTTTGTAGGCTCTGTATTCGAGGCATCACCTCGTAAAAAAATTATCGTCGAGTTTAAATTCTAATGCTTTGTCTGGCTCCCTTTCAAGTTGTACACATGGTTTTGCAGTATTCACTTTTAGCGTGGATACTTGAGCCATCTAAGACAGGTAAGACATTGACGACTAACTCATGAGGTTTTCTCCTACAGGACTTTTGCTATTATGCAAACACGATATTCTTGATCATGCTCCTCTGTTATCCTAGAAATGAGAAGCTTTTCATGGTTTGCTTCTCGTTTGCAGAGGTAAACAGTCGCACTTGGTGTTGATTTGTTCTGCCTTATGACATGGCACTTATTTTGTTAATTTTTTTTCTTTCTTGATATGCAAATGTGTGCAGGGGCCATTGGCATGGGCACTAATCGTTTGGCGGTGTAGCTTGGTCTTCAATTCTATGGACAAAATCGTGAGCGTCTTTATACATCTCCTGCCTGGTAAGACAATCCTTTCTTAAAAAAAAATAAATAAATAAATAAAAATAAAAAAAATAAAATAAAAAATTGATTTCCGTTGGTCTTTGTTGGTTCAATAGTTTTCTAGTCGTTGGAGAAGTTCTAGTTTATTATTCGTTCAATTGAACTACTTGCCGGTTTCCCCAGTTGACACATCAGCATCTGTGAAAGCATCTACAACCGACCGTACATATTTTGATCTTTGATTTGGAGTTGATAATTCCCATTGGCTCGCAGTTTTTATGACATGATTTACTGATAACTCAGAGCTTGTATCACGACATTAAATTGGTTATCGATGTCTCAAGTATGCCCGAAAATATGCTTCCAAAACCTTTTCCTTATGTCTTTTTCTCATTAGGTGATCTTCTTTCTGTGGGATATGGTTTCATATCATACTGTACTGGCCCATGATTACTTTTGTATGGGAGATACTTTAAACATGATTGGAGTTACATGGAGAAAGTTAAATCAGCAGCAATTAATACTAGTACTATGACAATGCAAAAAAACCATAAATCCGTTACATGGAGATACTTTAAACATGATTCCTTTTGCGCTCGTGTTTTATCTATCCTTGAACTGTTACTCATCTTCGCATCATTTTGTTGTTCAGGATTGGTTTTCTTCACAATCCGTTGGTGGGACCCAGTGTTTTTCGAAGCAATGCATCCCGAGGGCACGGCTCGCAGGGCATCGTGGCCCTACGTAGAAAGCAAGTCATACCTGTGGACATGGCTTTTCTTTGTTCCTTTAGCTGCTTACCTTTTATGGCAGTTTCTTTATTTCCTAATTGTGAACGTGCTACGCAGACAGAGACTGCTTCGAGATCCAGAAGTTATGACTTCATACAGGTTCAAATCTTTCTCGTGTATTTCTTCTCACCTTGAGTTGGAATATGCAAGAAATTACTTTGAAGATTTAACTATAAGATTATACCTTCAGGGTGGGTTCACTCCATTTCATAAATAAAACAAAAAATAAAAGAAGTTATTTCGAGAAAGTTAATTGGTTCTTGTTAAAAGGAATTACAAAACGACCACTGTGACCTTACCGTCTTTGGTAATTCTTCTTTATTTCTTCGTTCTGCGTGATTTGAATTTTTTTTTACTTCCGATTTTTCCCCTTCATCATAATGATATCTAATTTCATCTTCCGATTTTCTATCTTTTAGGGAGCTCTCTAAAAAAGCACAGAAGGCAAACAACATTTGGTGGCGCCTAAGTGGGTTGCTCGGGGACCAAAACCGATTGTTCATGTACATTCTGTTTCAGGCTATGTTCACTGTAGCCACAACAGCACTTACGGTTCCAATTTTCTTGTCCTATGAATTACACGCCACTTTTCAAGTGCTTAAAGCCTCTGCAACTGTATGGAACGGCGGTAATTTCTTACTAGAAGTCATGCCAAGGCAAGTCATTCTCAAAGAAAAGAAGAAAACCGAGATCCCGCGTGTGCCTGTTGAGGATCGGGTCAACCAGTCGGTGAACGAGAACACGGTAAAATCGGACGATTCTTGTGAGGTTATAGAATCATTGGCCACAGTGCATGAAGATTAAGATTTGTGGAAAGGTTGGTCTTTTGGTTTGCTGTATGCTGAAAACTTGTTGGCTGATTTAGTTGGTTTGTTGTTTGTTTTACATGATTTTACTTGTTTACTTGGAGCCTTTTGCATGCTAATCAGATGATTTGTTGTGTTAGATTGAGTTCAATCTTTAGTCTAGGTGAAAAGATATGTGAATTATGCTTTATTTTACAGTAGTCAATACTTGTGAATATCAAAGTTGTGCTGGTAAATCTTGTTTTGTTTGGGGAACACTTGAAGATGTTATTTTGAACAGATAGTTTAGGGGTTGCTTGGATATAAGTTTATTTGTTTTTGGATTTTTTGGTTAATTAAAGTTAATTTTGAAAAAATTGTTTGTTAGGCAGGCTATCTCCAACCGCAAAACATATTCTCAAATTTACTTTGCAGTAACTGTCACATGCCACATCAAGCAGTAATTTATCTTTTAACATAAAATTCCAGTCTCAAAAATCTAAAAAGAATATTCAGAATATTCTTTTCTACATCAACTTTTATAAGTTTTCAATGTTATTGATATATTTTACAACTTTATAAATTAAACTGCACTATTATTTTAAATTTAATTTGCAATTTATGTTATATAATTAATTATAAAGTTATAATTCATGTACATAATAAAATTGGATAAATAAATATTTATTAAAAATTAAAAATTACAATGCACGAGATGAAAAATAACTATACATTGAAATGAACATAAAATAATTATTTGTATAAGTAAAAAATATATAGTCTTTTAAGTCTCGAAATTGGTGATTTTTCCCACAAATGATCAATTAGTGCATTCTGAAGTGTAATGAGACCATCTTTATTTCTATTTTTTTTTATACCGAGATATAAATTTTTAAAATCGAGTACTTTCATCTATTGCTATTATGACCTCTGGCGACGGCGTTTCCATCTCAATTTCGATTGGTGCACTTATGTCACGTTCATCCTCACAATCATGTCATGCAAAATTATACATGTTATTATTAAATCACGT